TCAATCAAGAATACATACTGTAGGGAAAATATTCATGCAGCCAAAAAGATACCTACATGTAGTCCATCTGTTCGGGTGTAAGTGATCAGACCCGCTGCTTTACCATCAGATAACTGAACCCCCTCGTAAAGTTTTTGTGCAAGCTGCATATATAATGTATCTTCCATTAGCCAGAAAGTCTGTGTATCTATATGATGCATATCCTTAAAGCAAATATATATGTATATTCTTAAAGCAAATATATATATATATATATATATATATATATATTATCAATTCAAAGCATGAATCATAAGATTAACTGCATCGAAGAAAAGACTTGTGGCTAGAACAGAAGACGAACGTTGAAGTAAAACTTTTACAACTCTTTCTGGTAATGGAAAAATGTTACTTCATTTCAGGACAACATCTGCTCTTACAATTCCAATTAGAAAAATAGAATCAGAGCAGTTAGTTCACCATTAGGCTGGTTTTGTTTTGTGCAGACATCTTTCTGCTTTATATGAAGATAATATAACTATACGATAACAGTACAGAACATAAACAACAATGTTTCAAGTGATACAACATTCCATATGAGCAGAACTGATATGGAATGTTTGACATGTAATGTCTAAGGTGATACCACTATGGCTGTGTATCCTTAGAGTGATACAACATTCCATATGAACTGGATAACAGCCGTTACAAATCTGGGCATTGAAATTGATGTAATAGTGGAGAAACTTATACTTATGAGCAGAAGAACAACTTCAAAGCTATTAAAAACATTATACTTTAAAGCAAGGATAATGAATAAAATATATGGATAATTGTCATTTTAGCTTTAGAGTTTAGATGGAAATCAGAAGATAAATGCTCTCAAGCCCGCACCTTCATTGTATATGCTGCATTGAAATGCAATTTGTTTGCAGCATCCTGCTGAAGTGTGGATGTTATATACGGCGTGGGAGGATTCTTCCGCATTTTGCTTTTCTTAGAATTGACAACTTGAAAATTTTCTGAATTAATCTGCTGTTCAATTACTTTAGCCTCGGTATGAGAACTGATAGAAAATTGATTTAACTTCTTGGAATCATAATGGGTCAAGTGTGCTGGGAAGGATGGGGCATCCACTGATGAACCCTTATCTTTTTTCCTCAATTCAACTGCAGTAGTCCAATATTCCTGCGGTTTAAATTCATCAATTTCCATTTCCCTATCGCACAGAAGAGCCAATGCAGCAGATTGGACTCGCCCCGCAGACTGGCAACCTGGTAGTTTCCTCCATAACAGTGGTGAAATGTTAAATCCAATCAAATAATCAAGAGCACGCCGTGCAAGGTAAGCATGGACCAAGTTCTCATCAATTTCTCGTGGAGTTTGCAGCGCGCTTTTGATAGAGGCCTCAGTGATTTCATGAAAAACAACCCTGGCTACAGTAATATCTTCACGTAAAGCACCCTGTTGTTGCAGCATCTCAATAATATGCCAAGCAATAGCCTCTCCTTCACGATCAGGATCTGATGCAAGAATAAGAGTTTCTGCTCTGATGAACAAGGTGTGAGAAATAAGAAATTCAGAAACATAGCTCCAAAATGATTACCATAGACCAGAATATCCTAGCTAGTATTGTTAGTAGCTTGTAGCTAATTGAATCAGAATGAAAATGATAAGAAATCATACCCTGTTAGTGCAACCTTTATAGTTTGCAGATGAGTCCAGGCAGCAGATGGAACTTCCCACACCATACTGAACTCATCATCAGGCCGTACAGATCCTGACCTAGCAGCCAAGTCCCTTACATGACCATAGCTAGGAAGAACTTCAAACATGTCACCAAGATAACCCTGAATAACCTTCGCTTTTGTAGCAGACTCCACCACCACAACAGTTTTCCCAGTTGCGGGGTAAAGCGGCTTCAGTGTCATTTTTCCATGAGGTTTCACTTTGCCTATTTTTTGTGGTAAAAGTTTCTGTGGCGACTTAGTATCTGAATTTACCAATTTTCCCTTTCCCATAGAGTTCCCGCCTTTCTTCTTTGGCTGGGGTTTTGTTGAAGAACCATCAGCAACTTCTACTGGAGTTTTCGCAACGAGGTTCAACTGAAAGACTGCAGTGTTAGTTAAAATATTGTAATGTAAAGATTTTAATCCTAATTCTACTAAAAAAATTATAGTTACTATTTGCTAACCTCTGAAACCTCCGCCGACTTTTCGCCTCTTTTGGTACTACCAGATTTCTTCGGTTGAGAAGTAACCTTAGAACTGTGTGTTGTAGCAGCTTCTGCAGGAGGATTTGCGGCAGAAATTTGTTCTTTAGTTTTCTTGCTTTTTGACCTCTTTTTCCCTTTGACTTTAGAGACCTTGGTATCATTACTTATAGGAGAATTGGAAACCAAAGATCCCAATTTTCCAGCCCCCTTCTCACTTCCATCTTGCTGTTCGGTTAAAGCTTCTACATCAACATCTTTGGAGATGCTAGAATCAGTAGCTTTGGTTTTAATTTGAGCTGCTAATGCCTTTTCCCGTTTCTTGCGTTTGTTAAGCTTTCTGAAAAAAAATGTATTTCCACTATTCCGGCCATCTTGGACACCCACACTCTCTCCTTTGTATATAACAGATGCAACTTGAGAGAAAAACCTCTTGGGAAAAGCTCCCGCGCTATGATTAGTTAAACCTAATCTGCAACTATTCTTAAAAGAGACACAACTGATAATACCAGCAGGCCCTAATGAATTAAGCGAACCATGTTCTAAATGAGAATGAATGGTAAAAGCACGTTCAGACCCATCACTGGTTCTTCTGAAAGAATGAAAATTTGGCCCAAACTTTGAATGGTTGGCCGTGATCATGGAAGAAACTCCGGATTTCTTTAACCTGAGCTGAGAACAATTTCTGTATACATTTGCTGTCAAATTCAGCGAAGATGGTAAGCAAGCACATGGATAAGCCTCAAACGCCCTCCACTGCATCTGGAGGACCAAAAGTTGCACGTCACGATAAGATTTTTAGGGAACAAGCATACTTGGACAAATATTGAACACACATACACACACAAAAACAAAATCAAATTCCGAATATCCCAGTGTTGCATTAGTTAGCACAACCAACATAATTTAATCAAACCCAACAAGAATCTATACCTATGTTCGTATTCATCGGTAAAATGCTCCATTAAGTGAAAAAGTTCCATACTTGAGTGTCCAATCAACCAAAACAGACCATCATTTTACACCAAATAAACAACCCAGAAATATAGCCAGCTAGAAATGGTACAAATTGGTGCGGGGAAAGGCATGAACTTGAAGCAAAAGATGGAAAAAAATAGAGAGCATGAAAAATGAAAGGGAAAAGTGGGAACCTTGGCCATGGAGCGGCGGAGACGGAGGGCGGAGGAAGCTAAGGTGTTTGAGAAAATCAAGGAGGAAGCGGGGACGGTGGACAGTGAAACGGTCCGTTGAAAATGTATCATCGCCATGCCAGTTTCATTTGCTTAACGCAAACAAAGATAAGAGTGGAGTTTCGGATGTTCTGTTATACTGTATGAGAGAGAGTGAGAGATGGAGAAGGTGAGGCTACGAAACGAGGGTTTTGACCAAAGGGTTTTAGGGTAGGTTTTCGGATTCGGGTGATGATCCGGGTACTGGCCTTTAATTTTGTTCCCATATTTTGGCCCATTCCGGAGGCAGAATTTCTTCTTTTTGGGTTTCTTGTGTCAATTAATCATGTTATTCGTCTTTTTCATTTTCAGTCTAAGTTACTTTCGTTAAACAAAAAGATTAATACAAGGAAAAGAAAGTCTGAAAAACAGCTCAAAACTTAAATACACGCCTAATAAAATAACAAAAAATAAATTCAAAATAAATACCTAAAATAATCCAGCTGAAAAAATAACATAAACCCTAAAAACGGAGAGGAAACTAGCAGCCACCACCAAGTCAAACGCACCTCCATCGCAAGGCCACTGCTATCAAGAGAACAAACCAAATGGAACAACTGGATCAACGGAAAATAGGGGTGAGCGAGCCACACGTAGAGTGATCGCTCCCATAGTGTAAGTTGCCCTTTAACAGCCACTCAAAACCCGTGTGTCATCGAGAAGAAGTACCTGGGTCGAGTAGCAGTGGTCGGTAGTTGAGGACACGCAACGAAAAGAAGCATCAGAGCAAGAGAGGTGCATGAGGGTTCCGATATGAGACAAGCTCATGGAAGTTGAAACAAAAAAATAAAGCAAAAGTAAAGCAACGCAGGAAAAATGAGAAACAAAGGAGGAGGAAGGCTTCCCTCTCCGCCCTGCGTCTACACTGCTCCATGTCCGTGTATTATTCGACAAATATGTTAAAACAATACTTTGGAAAATTCAGCTATTTTAATTTAATATTTAATTATTTATATTTTTCAATAATATGTTAAAAGTACATATAAAAAACATGAATTTTATATGGAATATTATTGAGAAATGTGTGAAAATAACGTGAAAGGTAAGTATGTACCTATATAATATGTGTATGATACGTTGAGGCTTTAACAACGTGTAATTTAACGATTATCAAAGCATATATAGAAAATGAAAATATTTTAAAAAAATATGTACATACTTATTTAATGTACGTATTATATGCATATTTACTAACTATGCTAATCTTTTTTATGTCCATTAAAAATTGATTGTCTCGGACATTCGATGAAATTGGAATTCATAAAAAATTAAAAAAATTAACGAAAAGTTCAAAAAAAAATAATTTTAATAAAAAATGACAAATAAAATTATAGTAAATAATACAAGATAGAGATAAAAATGTAATTTTTTTATTCAAAATAAACAGTACTGAGAGTATCACGTTAAAACTTCTCAAAAAATTAGCATTAGCATGGCCCACGCTTTGTCAAATTGTACACGATCGTTTGAAGCCCTAAAGTAAACCCTGGTGGATTTGAGCTTTCCCCCAAAATCCCCAAATCAAATTGGCGGAAGACGAGATAAAAGTGAAATTAGGGATTCCTAGCGGAGGCAGTCTATCACTCAGAGACAACACGACTTCCTACTGTTTTCACACTCAGCGCTGCAATGGATCGGCAGCCTCACGACTACGCCGCCTCCGCCATGGCCTACGCCCAACAACAGCGCCAAGCAGCCACCAGCCTTCAACAGCAGCAGCAGCCACAACAACCGCCCCAACAGCAGCAATTCGGGTACCCGCCCCAAACCCAACAGTTCCACGGAGGCCCACCACAGTTCGTGGGTCCCCACCCTTCTCTGCAGCAACAATTCCCTTATCATCCCCACGGGCCGCCGCAAGTCCTTCCCCACGCCCCGCCTCACCCCCACCACCTCCCTCCTCCGTCCTTCGCTCCCCACCTTCCCCCTCCATTGGTTCCCTCCCCCTTCCACGCCGGGCCCACCTACGACTCCCCCCAGCCTCCGCCGTCTGCTCCTCCGTCCGACCCGGAGCTCCACAAACGGATCGATAAGCTCGTCGAGTACTCCGCCAAGAACGGCCCAGAGTTCGAAGCCATGATCCGGGAGAAGCAGCAGGATAATCCCGAGTACGCTTTCTTGTTCGGCGGCGAAGGCCATGGCTATTACCGCTACAAGCTCTGGATATCGACCCGGGCTCCAGGCGGATCTTTCAACCCAGCTGGATTCCCACCCGGGTCGATGCACATGCTGCGCCCGTCCCCAAACCCCATGATGAACGCGCCTCCATCTGCGGCAATGATGGGCGGGCCTCCGCCGCCTTATTTCTACGAGCAGCAGCGACATGGGCAGCAGCCGTTCGGAGTGTACGGGCGGACAGAGTACGACCAGTCTCCATCCAAGCCCTTCAAAGGGCCCTCGGGACCGCTTCCCTCTGAGGTTGCAATGGAGCTTAACAATGTGCTTATGACGCTGAATGGGACCAAAGAGTCGATTAAGGGAGCGAAATTTTGGTTTATGCAGCGGTCAATATTTGCGCCGGCATTGGCTGACGCTCTTCGGGAGAGGGTGTTTGGCTTGGATGATTCTGAGAGGCAGCTTCATGTGATATACCTTGCAAATGATATTTTGTTTGACAGGTAATTCCAGTGGTGCATTGTTCATTTGTTGCAATTACAGAATTCTTGTTTGCTTTTGCCTGCTTAACTGTGATTTGTTGCTTTTGCTCGGATATGTTTTGGGTCGAGTCCAATGGAATGCAAGTCCAAAAAGATACATTTTTTGTTTTTTGAGCTGTGCCGGCGATTTTAGTGGAAACATTTACTTGTGTGATAGTCTATTTAAAATCTGGATAACAGCCTACACTACATCTCACAGAAGAATCATATTTCCATGAAATCGTTGGAAGTTTTAACAACATTAGTTGTTATAGTTCTTACTTCTGAATAACACAGTTAATCGATGGGTTAGTGCTTGGGTGATGTTTGTTTTCCATTGTGTACAAAAATAAGAAGGATGATGGGTGTGGCCTTTGAACATGTTTGTACGGAGACAGAGGCTTTTCTTTTCTTCTTTTTTTTGTTTTTTGAAAAAAAAGGGGGGGGGGGGGGGGGGGAGAGGACAATTTGAAGGTTGCAAAAGTCGCTCACGAAGCTATCCAACTAGAACTTGAGGGGGAGTGGGGGTTGCACTGTTTTGATGTGTGCTAGCTGCGGGAAATAAAAAAGCAATGTATACTTTTTTCGTAGGGATGATGGGTGAACGTTTTACAGGGATATATATGTGCGTGTGCCCTTTTCTGTTGCCACAGGGGCTGGCAGATCAACAGATCATCTATAAGTTTGCCATAACTCTTGTTTCTTTACAGTATGAAAGAGCTGGTATTGAAAAAGCTCCGTCTTTCATACAAGTCTCTGTTTTTGTTTATGTGCACTACAATCCTTCAAATATCTAGCCTCAAGTCTTTAGTTTTCTGAGTGTACGGTGATAGTGTCATTAAAGAATTTAGAGGTTTCTTTTCTTGTTTGCCTTTTGTTTTCTTTGGCACGGTTGGTTGATGATAGTCCGAATAATTCTTTGATCCCTTCTTTGCCTTTAAATTTACAGCTCGCATCGGCGGACTGTTGAAGGCCTTGATAATGAATCACTTGCTTTCAAACCTATCTTAGGTTCCATGCTTGCAAGGATTTATCATAACCCTCAAATCACAGAAGACAATCAATTGAAGTTGCAGCAAATTTTGCAGTTATGGGCTTCTAAGAACATTTATGATCAGGATACTATTGATACATTTAGGAATGAGATGCTTGGTGGACCATCAAGTAATACTTTTACGGGGATTCCAAAAGACCTATCCACTGCTTCAGCAGAATCAGCAGCAGGTAGGCAGTAGGCTTCTGTGTTGTATGTATGTCTAGGCTACTAAATTTCGGGCGACTGGGCTCTATAAACTGGTTTGTCCTACACTTTAATTATCTTTTTCTTTATTTTGATGCAGGATTGCCACCACAGACAACAAACCACAATGCATTTCAATGGCAGACGGATAGGCAAAGTTCTGTATCCAGTTCACTTGATCAAGATCACCTTGATAAACATGCAGTTCCTGGCCAAGGCATGCCTCTGTCTATGCCTTCCCAGCAATTTCTTCCGAATTCAGTCCCTCCTGTTGCTTTTCCCGGGTCCATGCCCATAACATCTTCCGTTCTACCAGCAAACCAACAACCCCCACCCCATTTACTGCCAGGTCAACCTGCTAGTGGTGGGGAGAAGTTGACGCCATATCCGTTGTTCCCACCTGGTCTTATTCCTGAGATGGTCAGAAAGATGCAGATTGGCAGTGGTGTGCCATACTCGCAGATGAGCCCTTTGGACATTCCAACTGTTATACCTCCATCCACTGTACCTCAGTCAGAAATTCTCGATAGAGTGTCGAAATTCTTCAAGGAGATTGGAGAAGTTAACCCTTCTGAAGGGCCCCTTCATAATTCAGATGGCAGGGACGAGGATGATTACGAAGGAGAGCCTGTGGCGCGCAAGGGTGGAGCTTGCATCCCTCCACCCCCAAACCTGCAGATAGACCCTGAGACGGGGGCTTATGCTGATGGAAGTGTAGATAGAAAGAGTGGGTCGGGAAGGTTGGGACTAGGGGCCACAGCTAATCCAAATGAGGCAAGCCAGTACGACGATGTTTATTCTTCTTACAGGAAACAAAGAAGCACCAACTACCACTCATCCATGAGTGCAAGAGCTTCAGCGAGGTGAAAAACAGACCTGATTAGGAAATGCCAACTTCTTCCTTCTTTTTTCGGGTTTTTGATTTCTTTCGGTATTGTATTAATGTTAATGCATGCAAGAAATAGTACTGCAAACATTTTACCTGACTAACAGATAAATTCAGAATCTTTAGTTCATGCAAAGTTTCCTTTCATTCGTCTATCAAACATTTTTTACTTTGATCCTACGTGACAACAAAAGAAGGAACAGAACATTTTTTCACTTCTGCAGTGATCGGACACGGTTCGGGTGGAGGAAGGGGAGAGACCAGAATGAGTATTACTTCTATGTTTTATGATTTTTTTTTTTTTTTTTTTTTTTTTTTGGGTCTATTGACATAACGGGAAGGTTTTGGATAGGAATTTTTCACTTGTTTGTGAATTTGTGTGATTCCACGGCAATTAAATTGCTCTTCGTTGTGATTTTTCGTTTGCCGTGTCCTGCGTACGTCCATGATCCATTGTTACAACTACGGATGTGTTGAAGAATATTTGCGGGAAAAGGAGAAAGGGAGTGGGTTGCGGGGCTCGTAGGGGGGTGGGGGTTTATTACCTTTTCTTTTTTTTCCCTTTTTATTCTTATTATATATTTTCTTTTACAGTCCACGTGGCAATATATCATTGGACTCAATGGGAGTATAGCACTCACATGTATGCCTTGTCAGCACATTCACTATGTTGGGGTGGGGCTGTGGTGATGGGGTGGTGATGATGGTAGTAGAGGTTGCCGTCATGTTGAAGGTGGTGTGGCTGGTGGTCATGGTTGGTGATGACGACAGTAAAAAGATGGTCGTAGGACGATGTGGTATGGTGGTGATGATGGCATGATGTTCATGCCAATGACAGTGGTGACAACGATGATGACAATGTTAGTGGTGGGACTTGAGGGATGATCATGGTAAGATGGTGGTGATAACATTATGGTTGATAGTGAAGTATATTATCAAAAAATGAAAAATAATGAAATCCATCAAAATCTTAGGGATAGGAATAGAATTTGATATGACAATAACCCTACTATAAAAGCACTCAAGTCCATGATTTTTTAAATCCCTTAAATCAATGAAATTTTGAATATACCTAGACTTTTATAGACTCGCAAAAAGTTGTAATTGAATACCACAAGATTTAGTAGATTTTTTAGAGAGAGAGAGAGAGAGGAAATAAAAAAAAATAACTTTATTTGTTGACTCCTTAAAAGTTGTATTGAATATATCTAGATTTCCGAAAGAAGTAAAGTCCATCAAATTTCATATACAATACGCCCCCCCTTTAAGCTTCAAGGAGAATATTTGTATTCGGGAATCCTTTTAGGCAGGGGATGGTGGCGGAGGAGTTTGAACTTGTGACATGGTGGGAGTTGAAAAATTATAGGAATATATCCCAAAATGGAACAATGTCTTAATATTGGGATAGAAATAGGACAAACATGCCATACACAAGCCATGCGCACCATATACAAAATCAAAATTACTAACATACCCACATATAGATACTAAAAATCATCACCCCATTGCATCACTGTTCTCATTTGGAAGAGAGAGATGTCGAGAGAGCTCTCTGAGCTCTGAGTTTCTGGGTTGAGCTCAAATCTTTGAGCTCCGATTTCAAAGAGAGAGAAGTCCAAAGAGTGGCGAGAAAAGTGAGTTGGGTTTTAGGTTAACCTCATAGATCTGATATCGAACAAAGGGATGCAAGAGAGAGGTGAGAAGAGTGAGCTGGGTTTTGTACCATATTTTCTGTTTTGGCCAAAAAGTTCCATTTTTTCCGGCAACTAAAGCTTCGGCAAGCATAGTAAGGTAGGGTGTTTAGTTTCAAGTTCCTTCATCAATGATTTATGGAATAAATGAGTTGTTTGTAAGATAATTAATACTTAGAAGTTAAATTTGGGTTTGTGTTTCATGTTCAGGTGTTTGGGTTGTGGAATAAATTTCAAGTTTTGACGTACTAGAAAACTGTGATGGAACAATTTTTTGTTCAAGTGTTCAATTGCAGAAATTTGTAATGTGCATCTGGTGTTCATGTGGTGTGCATATGGTGTGCATGACTACATCTTAATATGAGAAGCGGGGAATGTTCACTAGTTATGATGCATGTATGTTGTGCCCCGGAATTTAGCAAGTATGATCGCAACCTAGTTAGCCTCAGAGAAAAACAAAATTAGGAAAAAGCTTAGAGGACGTTAAGGGTCATGCGTGTCCATGAAATAACGATAACGAGTATCATGTTTTCCATATGCTCGGTTAAGTGGTGGTTAATATACGTAACAAGACTTTTCAAACTATTACTGTAACCTTATATACATAACAATTATGTTTTAATTGTATTCACTATACCAATATGTTGCCGTTAAAGTTTCTCCCGCTCTGTGCATATTATGTGCATGTGGTGTGCGTATAGTGTATATGGTGCATGTTTACATCTTTGATACTCTTGGCGTTAACGTAGTTTACTACTTTTTCTTTTTATTCAGAGCCAGGCCCTGCAAATACGAAAAAAAGCGAACAAGTTCGTGAAACAATTTTCTTTGATTCAATTGGGTTCCTTTGTGCCCATTCAAACTTCAATTTTCAAATCCTTGAAATATTTGAACCCAATCAAATTTGATACCAAATTCAAATTAATGAATCTTCAATTCTTCATATAAAGTTTAGTGTTATTTATCTGATTGCGTCATTTTTCTGATTTCGAAGAGAGAGATGTGAGCTATGAGTTTTTGGGTTGAGCTCAGATCTGTGAGTATAACATGTGCATGTCGTGTACATACAGTGTATAAGCAAGCTTCATATGAAGAGAGCGAACGACTAAGCGAAACAATTTCATCCATATCCTTCTCTCTTCCTTCTTTCCACTCTGATTTCTCTTTGTTCCCTCAAATTTATCTCTTCTCCAAAAGGCAACTGACCTTTAATACATTTTTTTCATTTAATTGCAGCAAAAGCCAAACTCTATTTTAGTGCTTGTAAATTTGGATTGAGAGAGGGAGCAGAAGGAGGGAGAAGATAGAAGAAATGAAAACCTACATATAAATCAGAGAAATGAATATTAAAAAAAAAAAAAAGTTAAAAATTGAAGGAGTTGGGTCTCCTCCAAGAAACACCAAACTAATCACTTCAACTCCAAAAATCCATCAATCAAAAAGCAAAATTAAGTAAACCCAGTTCACAAAACCTACAAATGAAAAGGTAAAAATCGAAGAAGATGGGTGGGTTAGGGAGAGCTCTTGTGCATATTCGAAATATAGAGAGAGCAGAGAGAGAGAGAAAGAGAGAGAGCTTGGATGAAGAAGATGGGTGGGTTAGGGTTCTTCGAATTGGAATTGGTCAAGATAGATTTTCTCTATTTCTCCTCTCTATTTCTCTCTCTATAAAATGAGAAATGAAGGCTAGAATTTCTGGATAACCCATTTATATGGGAGGACAATTTGGTCATTTCAAAATGTCGTGTGCATGTTGCATGCATATTTGAAATGTCATATTTCTGTCCCAAGATAAAGAAATTGTCCCATTTTCAGGAATTTCCCAAATCATACTATATTCACATGACAATCTATCATTTTACAATGTAAAATGACACATAATTGGTTACATTATAAATTCTCAATCTCATATAGGGAGAAAAAGTAGAGTAAAATTAGGCAAGACTAGTTTTTCGTCAGTAAGGACGTGTATGACACCAACTCTTCTTTGGAGAGAAAAATACTATCGCACCCATAAACCCCTCGCCCCTCCCTCTCTACTAAATGTTATTAATACAGTAAAACCTTTATAAAGTTATAAAGTTGGAGTGTAGTTAATAGAACAATATTATTCCTTGACTCATTTATACTTAATGAACGTTTATTTCCTAAATAGGATTCTTGAGAAGGACATTGTGAAAACACCAAAGGTTTCAAGTCAAGAAGTTATAAACATGCTTGAGAAGAGAGAAATATTTCACCCTGTCATGTGACAACAATCAAGCAGACTCACTAGCTTGGAGCATCGAACTCAGGACCTTCCACATTTTGGCTTCAACTAAAAGGTGTTCATGTTTACGAAGTTACTTACTCGCAAGCTCAAAGACATTGCATCAAATCTAAAAATTAAAACCTTATCCCAAACAACTTTAGAAAAACATTTTAGTTAAGCTTTTAATTGTGATATTGCATAGTATTGTAATCTTTAATTTTTCCCATGTGAAAATGTGTTTTCCTAATAAGAGAACAAGAAAAATTATAACTTGTTACAAAAACGTATTAATTTTCCGACCAAAAAAAATTTACGATTCCGATATAAGGTTTTAAATTTTCCGACGAAGGAAAAAGGTTTAATCTTTCTCGGAAGTCGCAACCGAAAATATAAAAACGTAAAATTTGAAAACGCAGTGCTTCCCTACCATGCTCCAATCTTTCACATTTCCCATTTCTCGCTTTCCCATTTTTCACATTCACTTTCCTCCCTTTCCGGCTTTCCGTTACAGCGTTACTCTCTCTCCTCCATTTTTTTACTCCCTCTCTCCCCCTCCACACTCTCCTCACTCCACTTTCTGGACTTCCTGTCTCTGTGTTCGCTTCAAAACCCCATCTCAGAACCAGGTTTCATTCGATGCAATTTACTCTCGAATTGGATCGGTTACGTCGTACATCAGTCCTGGGTCCAATCGAATCCAATTCCCTGCTTTCGAAATTTGGGTTTTCATCGATTTAAAGTTTTTTGGTCAAACAAGAAAAAATTGTCATGTAGCTTTGATCAAACAATAGCTCCCACTAAGCTCATTTGACACTGATCCAAAACAAAGGATTTGTGTTTTGAAGCTTAGATATGGCCATGGAGAAACGTATTGAGACAGAAGCTAGCTCGTTTTTGAGGTTGTCCTTCTGTCTGTCCCAAGTTGTTTTCTTTTGGGTTTATGTTGTTCCGACAAAGATTTTAGCTTGATGATTACAACTGTAAGCAAAGAACATGGTAGCTATGTTAAAATGTATAAATGTTTCAACATTTCGATGTTTTGAATCAAAAAATTGTTGATTGATTTTCTTAGTCTTCTTGTGTTTGAACGTTGAATGCAGTTTGTCCGCGGCCTTGTCGTATGGGGCTGCTTCCATGGCAATGGTTTTTATCAATAAAGCGGTTATTATGGCGTACTCACATTCAATGACCCTTCTCACAATGCAGGTAATACTTTAACAATTCGAATATCGGTCTTTTAATTCATGAGATTAAGATACCCTTGCTTGATTGTTCGCAATGACCCGTCTTTTATTTCTTTATTGTCTTGGTAATTTGCAAGTGTTTTCTGCTTGGTTGTGCATAATGAGCCTTCTTTCGTTTCTTTATTGTTTTAGCAATTGGCAACTGCTTTGCTTATACATGTTGGTCGAAGAACGAGATCAAGAGGACTAGAAATGTCCACCGCGAAAAAACTTCTCCCTGTGTCGCTTTTCTATAATGCTAATGTAGCGTTTGCTTTGGCCAGTTTGAAGGGAGTTAACATTCCCATGTATATTGCAATCAAAAGGCTCACACTGCTTGCTGTGCTTGTAGCTGGATTCTTCTCAGGGAAGGGGAGACCCCCAATACAGGTAATGTCTTGTCTTTATTTGATCAGCTTGTACATTGTTTGATGACGTATGTCTTATTAAACTTAATGTTTGTTTATACATTTGATAGGATTCGTTATGCTTCTTTTTTTGTTTAGTGTTAGTGTAAGTTAAACCTAAATTTGTTCTTTCCCCAACTGGAATATGAGAAGGATACTATTTAGTCTTTGAAACGTATGATGTAAAAGTTCCATAAGAAAACCTACATGATTGACCAACACTATAAAGTAGTTTAAAATGGAAGCTAGATTACATTAGTCTTTGATGTGCTTTCTTTTGGTTCTGACTGAGTGGTCTGCAATTCATAAGCTAAGTTACGTTGGATGAGAATAAGTAACATCTTGTGTCGGATTCACATTATTACGGGCAAGTCATTTTCTCATTGCTTACCAGAACCGTTTGCTAATGCAGTCAGCTTTTCAAAATATAATTATTTGTGTTGGGAAGGGTCTCTGTGATGATAGCTTTCACTTGCTGCTTGGTGATAACAAAGATAAATCATCTGTATTTGGCATAATATTTGGAACGAAATGTCTTGTGACATAATGATACTTTCCTTCATAAATAAGTTGGCCTTATAAATGTAGATAAAGGATGCTTGATTTTAAAGAGTCACCCGTCAAAACTTATTGAAGATGAGAAATATAATGCTAAAGTCCTGGAAAGATGCATCTTCGTTACCACTAAATTTGACAATACTGAGTTGCATTTAATTTTATTTTCTTCTCTTTCATGTTTTAGATTTGACAATACTCAGTTCTCTTTCATGTTTCAGGTGTGTCTTTCAGTAACATTGACTGCAGTAGGGGTTCTGATAGCTGCACTCGGAGATTTTTCATTTGACCTTTTTGGATATAGCATGGCCCTTACTTCTGTTTTTTTTCCAGGTTGGTTATGATGTTTTTGTTCACCGACTGGTTTGTGCTTTACTTGCTTCGAATTGTATGTTATGGAAATTAAGCTCATACAAGCACTTCTTATTTAGACCATGTACCTTGTGTTGGTGGAGAAATCTGGTGCTGAAGATGGGCTATCATCAGTTGAGATCATGTACTATGACAGCTTTCTGTGTCTTCCGTTTTTGAAGCTTCTCATTGTAGCTACTGGAGAATTTCCAGATTCTTTATCATTACTAATTGCAAAGGTCAGACTTTAACCTTTTCTTTATATAAGTATTTGAATCATTCTCTTTTTATGTGGGACTCTATTTTGTATTCATTCTAGTAACTATGGAAACAGTAGATGATTGACTGCTTAAATTGTTGGATTTGTATCTGGAAATGGATTACTGTCTTTGACATCTAGTACGAGGCATTTTTTATCCAATGTTACGATAAGAAAGACTTAATACAAATTAGATAGCATAAAAACAAGGGATTTCAAGTTGCAAATTCCAGCTGACAACATCATTGACTATAAACATGGTTCTTTGTACATATTAGTTTAGCCCATCGAGAAGTCCTAGTTTTCTTTTGGCCTGCATCCAGCAATATGAACTCCTAGATTGGGGGTGATATCAATTTCAGCAATATGGTGGGAGCTGGCGATACGCCTCGCTCCACTAATTTTTCTGATTTTGTGTTTGTTTGAATTTACCTTCGGATTCTAGATTAGTGGATAAACAGTTGCATTGCTGGCTGTTCATATAAGTAGTAACCATGTGAAGATTTCTTCAGGGGCCTTGGGATTATTGCTGTGGCACTGAGTTCTTCTTAGAAAGATCATGCATTATATAACTGACATGAAATTTTCTGTTTTTGCAGAGTAATTCCTTATATTTTCTGGTGATCCTCATTCTTTCATTTATTATGGGCATTGTTCTCGACTTCACCATGTTCTTATGTACGATAGTCAACTCCGCTCTAACAACAACCATCGTTGGAGTCCTAAAAGGGGTTGGGTCCACGGTATGACTGAACTACCTCATTTTCTGTAGGCTAAATGACGATTTTGGGAATTAAGTTTTATTTCATCTTATTTTGAGACAAATATTTGTGAGAAAATTTGTTTATACGTGTTTCTTTGCTTCTCGGACCCTTGGTTTTGTAGTACTGGGTGGCGTGCAAGTACATGTTTTGAATGTAACTGGACTAGTTATCAACACAGCTGGCGGAGTTTGGTATTCATTTGCCAAATATCAACAGAGGAAGAACAAGCCCGCAAAGTGGATTGCAGATGTGGAGGCTCATCGTAAATAAAGTTGATACCAAAAGATTGCATATGGTTACTAACAGCTCCTTTCTGTTTGTACATTTTGCTTCTTATCTTCATCAAAACATGGCAATTAGTTCAGGTACTGTTTGGTACGTGGGACGGGACGGAACAGAGTGGGACAAGGTGTTCCGTCCCACGTTTGGTACGCCTAAAACAGGTGGAACGAGCTGTTCCACAGGACGAGTTTTGGGTGAATTTTCGTTCCACCTCACCCCCCTAGAACGACTCGTTCCACATCCGTGGAACACAAAATTATAACCTCTCCGTCTCCATCTTCTTCCTCCTTGTTTCCATCCGAGGGCATCTTTACTTCCGCTCCGTTCCGTTCCGTCTTGTCCCGTCCCATCCCATTCCGTTCCGTCCCGTTCCGTCTGCATACCAAATGATACCTGAATGACAATGATACACGGTAGAAATGTTTAAACATGTTCTGTTCACAGCATGTCCGAATTTGTTACTGTACTCACATGGTAGAGATGTTTCTTGATAAAACAATACATCATCCGTCGGTTTACATAAGCTTCCGGTTTGTTTGCTTTTGTCTTCTGTTCAGTGTTTAACCAAGAAAAACTGATTCCATTCGTTTTGGGATGTTGAATGTAAATGAAAGCTGATTGCTTTTTCTTTTTGACAAAAATGGACTGATTATGTCGCATCATTTTGGGTTACTGATTTAGGTCCTCGTATGATCGTATCGTATGAATTTGGATGCATTCCTCGACTCTACTGAATCTTGAAATTCAGGTATTACAGAAAGCGAGTACCCCGTTTCATGTTCCGAGAACGATTATTATCCGTCGAGACAAAAAGTCTTCCAGGATTCAGGATCTGGGAATGGGTCTTCCGGCTCCTCCATGCACATGCACTTGTTTTCCTGTTCTTTCCAATGCAATTTTCCGACTCAGATCAATAATTTCCTTTGTTTTTCTCCCATGCTTCAATAATTGCTTGTGGCTGTGTAAGGTGTTGATTGAAATTACTATTTGTTTTTTTTTTTCGTTCTAATACAATCGATATTGAGGGAGGCGGTTTTCAAATTCGAGACCTCGTATCGCATGCATAGCAACGTAAGAGAATGTAATTAACCAACTGAGTGTAAAATCTTGTTAAATTCTTCTTCTAAATCACTAAACCCCTTATGGTTTTGATACTTGAGCAAAACCACTGGGGTTTCTTTTACCATTTCCATTTAAAAGGATTGGGATTTAAGGCTTATCATCTCCCCACCGCGCCCAAGTGAATTTGGGGTGGCTTGACCGAGAGCTTTAGAACTTTAGAATTTGGGTGGCTTCACGATGAGAAGAGATTTTTTTATATAACCAAAATATGAACAGATAAATCACGCGTCATAATATATGTGGAGACTGACAGACCGTATCTTTCTCGTCCCCTTACATAAATTATTCAATTTCATTAATATTTCCAACTCAAGCTTTGCTGTGCAGGCGACAAAGCAATTTAATCGAGCTTTTTTGGTGGCCTTTTGGGTGCGCTTTCAAATTTAATGCAAATTGTGCTTTTCCTTGCCTACTTGTCTTCTTTGATTCCAACCCAAAACAGCTCTTTTATGCAAAGTTTTAAAGGCATTAGGTAATAGGGGCTAGTCAGGGGACATGTAAAGAGGGATATATGTAGTTACATAAACTATGAGTGACATCTAACATGTCATGACTACCTGAATTAGTAGAAGTATAAGTGAACTAATTATGATACTTTTTTGAACCTTGATTGAAGTTACAATGCAATTTGATTCTTTAATCATCTATATCCTGATCAAGATTTAAGTGATATAGATTTATTTCAAATTACATGTAGTCATCTATGATTGCTACGATGCATCTCACGTTGAAACAATTCTTACAAATAGTGCTTGATCAACAAGTACTTTGGCCGAAGATTTCTAACATGGATCTTCAAGTAGCTTTTTAGAGATATCTCTTTCTATTGAATAGTTACCAGAAGGTGATACATTCCTTATTGTGCATTCATGTATCTTCACTCATACATATGAACCGGTGTAGGTGAGGCCTAGGCGGTCCTAGACGGGACCTCTTTCTATTGCATACTACAACCATATGCCTTGCGCCTAGGTGAGGCCTAGGCGGTCCTAGACGGGACCTCTTTGTACATTACTTTTATGTGTGAATTGGTTATTTTTGTTTAAAATAATTTAAATTCTTTATTTTTGTTTACATGTGACAAAGGAATTAATAAAGACACACATTTATGTTCACACATGCTCATTTAAAATCATTCGTTATTTTTGTTTTATTTAATTAATCTATGACTAAAAATAAAAGGAGGTGTGTGAAAAACAAAAATAGTAGGTGAAAATTTGCTCCCAATGATTTTTGCACTTCTGTTTATATTTGTCACTTGATTTTCTTTTAATTTGTTCAACAAGTAGTTAGAAAGGTTGTCCGCCAAGATAAAATGAATGTGCCAAAATCATTTCCCTAAATACAGGGCCAGCCCTGAGAATTTTGGGGCCCTAGGCGAGTCTTCAAAGTGGGACCCTAAAGTTCTCGGACCTCCAACTCTTTGTATATTGGTATGTAGTAAAAAGAATTCGCTAATTACATAAAAAGTCTATTTCTTTATCAAATATCATTAAAAATTAATATCAAAAGGAAAAAGATATACTAATATTACTTAATATTACATGTCACATGCCTTTAGAAGCAAATGCACTAAGTGTAAAAAACAATAAAACTTGATTGACGAATATAATAATTCAACAATGCCAAGTGGTTCTCTTGTGTTCTTTCTAATATCAACACACACTAGTGAATCAAATTTTAGAATAACCTAGTTTAACAATAAATTTTTGAAAAAGAAATTTAAATTTAAAGTTATGGTTACCTCAAATTACAATCTTCAGGACTAAGTGATAGTTGCTTAAACATTCAATAGAAATAGAAAGATTGGGAAGTTGAAAGAAAAATGAGTACAAAGTTATGATTATTCTGGTTTTTGTTATTTTCAAAAGCAAAAGAAAAAAAATGCATTTGGACAATTGAGGCCATTAATTTCACTAGCCTCTTGTCACACGCGTATGTGTGTGAGAATTGGCCCTTGTTTGTTTTTTTTATTTAAGAAACTCAAGTTTTTTCTATTTATACTATTTTTATTTAAAATATTTTTGAAAATAAATAAGAATTTAAATATAAACCACCCACTAACATGATGTTTTGTTATTTTTTTTTCTAAAGTTGAAAATTTTAAATTCATTCAAAATTAATATTTGTTGAATTATTTTAACTCTTTTTGATTCTTGTAATTTTAAAAATTTTAAAGAGCAATTTATCTTTAATTTCATAGATTTGAAAAAAGCAAAAACTAATGCCTACAAGGTGTTTTGAACACACCACCCCATTGAAAACAGAGTGGAACGGTTTCCACTGCACCAACGAAATAATTACGATGTTTCTTACGTTTTCTTTTTTTATACTTTATATACAGGATGTATAAAAAACTTTGTTTGGAGGCCCTAGGCGACCGCCTATTTCGGTTACCCTCAAGGCCAGCCCTGCCTAAATATATATAAATAATTGTCACTTAATACTACGGTCTAATGATATTTTTCTTCACTTGTAAGTGATATGCCTTAAGTTTGAATTTCGAGAATGACGAGTATGCAACCAATTTATTTCTTTACTCTTATAGTGTAACTATATCGTCACATTATATATAAATATATATATATATATATATCGAGTACATTTTTTTTTTTCTTCACAGAATAACATACCGTGACAAAGAGTCATATATACATAATTAGCCATCACACTAAATACATCCAAGTTTGTCATGAACTGATGTTGCAAGATTATAAGGTTGAAGATTCGTGATCACATAACCAAATTCTGTCGAAAAAAATCAAAACACAAAATAAATTTGGTGGGTTGGCTCACGGGGCCAGGATCTGAATCTTTAGTAAATAGAAAATCTCATGTAGACCTAAGCGTTGCATGATATGATCACACTCATATGTTTCATGGGACATGTTATCTAACTATATCCAACTATAATATTTAAAAAATGGGCAACCACAGGTATTCATTTTTTCCTGGTCCCAAAAGGCTATGAGAAATTTCATCATACCTGTGGCCACAATCAAGCAGACTCATTAGCTCGGAACATCAAACCTGGTACCTCCCACATTCATCACACATTTTCTCATATCTTGCATATTTGTTACAAAAGTATTATGACACAATCAAATTATGAATTAAAATCATAAAGAACCGTGTCTACTAATTAACAGTATAACATAAGTTCACATTAGTATAAAAACTTTAGCATCATACTAGAGACAGAATCAAGCCTGGCTGGATTGTGCTACGACTAATTTCAGACTAGAAAACAGTTTTGATAAACAACTTCATGCTACCTAATTGCAAACTAATCCGACCGCTTAGAAAGCTCACTTTTCAACCAACTATATATGATATTTGTGGACATATTCACGATAATATGATGTCTTGTGTAATATAAAAAGCGTTTGATCTAATTTACTATTGTTTCTTTTTTGTTCTATAATTAGACATGTGAATTCAAAGTAGCTAAAGATTTACATGGATCACATAATTAATAAAAAATTTGGAATAAAAAACTGAAAATATGATAAAAATAGCTAGGGTTTTAGTGAATACAAAGATGGATAAGAAATATGGATGGAAAGAGATCTGGGGAAAAGGGTACGAGTTGTAATCTCCAGCTCACAGTATTGTGATCACATCTCTGAGACTGTTGAGATCACATGCATGGAGGCACAGAGATCTACTAATAATTGAGATCATCATCTCCACAGTTTTTCTGCATGAAAACAACAAAACTACGAGTCTACTACTTAACTAGTAGTAGAATGTGAGACTAGTATATTTTATTAAGATGGTACGTACTCATCAGATTCAGAAGACAAATAAAATAAGGGCGGTGCTATCACACAATCCTTTTTTATTTTTTACACAATTTATTTGATTTTTAGTCTTCGAATCGAATAAATTGAAGAAGATTAAATAACATAAATTAACATGAGATGTATAAGAGATAAAAAAAAGTATATGGATAACACCACTTTAAAATAATTTTTGTGGATTTTAATTCTCAGTGAATCTTGATAAGCCAATCTAATGTTAATGTGTCAATGGATTAGCGTACAATAAAGTTCAATTCCTTTCAATATAACTGAATAAAATTCAAC